AGCTATTAAAGGCTTAACATTCATTACATCATTATTAAACACCTTTAAATGTACCCTACTGATTCCAAATTTCGCTAAAATTTCCGAGCTTAACTTTTGATTATTCACCGACCTTCGGCTTAAGCTCACCTTTTAAAGTTTTAACCTTGACGCTTTCATATCTCATTTTTTTACGTCAGTGATAAATGAATTGTACTGACGAAGTTTGTGATGCAAAACGCATCCCACCACCCTTCACAACTCACGCACTTACATATATCTGTGCTTGTATATGTACATGCTTGTGTACATTTGCATGCCCACCCTAAAGAAGAATTTGCAAAAATTTACTGTCATTTTGATTTATGGTTTAATGTTGTACCTACACAAACTGATTTTAATATTATTTGCAATTTTTTGTACGAGAACCCCTAAAGTGCACTACTCCAGTTTTTGTGTACATACCTCTAAACAACCCTTTCACATAAGGCTTACGCATACATAATATTTGTGTAAATGTATAAGGGGTTGCAAAATTTTAATTAATTATTCGCATTTGGACTTTTGAATAATAAATTTGAAAATCCCGTTAATGAGTCTATTATTCTCACAACTTTTACTTCCACAAACTTCCCGCGTATTTACAAAATGTTTAAGTAGCAAAAAAATGTAAACAAATAAATAAATCAAATGTGACTGAAATCGTTTTTTACTCCCTCATTTTGTAATTAATTTTGCATACAGACTTTCAAAATTCCATAAACATTATAAAAAAATGTATATAAAAAAAAAGTTAGCAAAAGTAAGCTATCCTTTGTTGCCTCCTGTGAGGATTGAACTCACGACCCCTGGTTTACAAGACCAGTGCTCTGCCACTGAGCTAAAGAGGCTCATATAAGACGCAGACGTCTGTGGGAAGGCAAATCAGTGAATTAGAAAAAGTGGAGCTCAAAATAGAAAATGTCAAAGTAGAAAATTAAAGTCTTTGTTAATTAATTTAAAAGCATTTCCATGCTAAGATAAAAACTATAAACAATCACAATCATGGAGCAAATAGCGTTGCTAAATGACATCTTACGGACTGTCTTCACCTTTGTGAGACGCATCTCTCAGGCGAGGTACAGTTGCGCTGGATGGACATTTTAAAGCAGGCATGCCCAGCGCAGGGCAATTGCTTATGGAATTATGGAGTTCGTATCCTTTCTTTTGAAATTCCAATTTTAAAATATTTGTTCTATTATTTTTAAAAGCCACGAACTAGGGTGAAAGTTCGATTTTTCCAAACCGGTTTCAGCCGTTTTTTTTATTTTTAAGCGGTTTTTTTAAATCATGATTTTCATCAGGCAAAAAAACGTCAATCTGGCAAAGCTGAGATTTTACATTTGGCCAGTTTATTGTACAATAAATCGTCGAGAATGGGCTTTGTAGTACCTTAGTACTACCAATATTCAGTATTAGATGTAAGCCATTCTTATTCGGGCTTTAGGTGGCCTTAGGTGCTGGCTGACTGTAAGAGGTCTCATATAACGTCCGTAGCGTTGCCAAACACGTAGAAAACATAACACTCGACTTTTTAATAAAAGATTTTTCTACTTAGAAGAGCGCATCTGACTTGCAAAATGACAAATTGTTGGTAGTTGTTATACGGGTGTTTCGAGAGATTTATAAAATTACAATGGAACGACCAACGTATAGGTAGTAGAGGTTTACGCCGAAAGGCTTTGCGGCGGCGGCGTGGTCAACTTCAAAAAGAATCGGCGGCGGCGGCGAGGCCGGCGCGTCTGGAGACGCCGGCGCTCCTGCTCATAAGGTAGATTCCAAAGAGCCATGAGGCTACTAATCTTGTCCTGTCATCTCGGCACCCTTAGGCATTCGCCATGGCAATTCAGATTGTAATTGTATTTAATTCATTAATTGAATTAGTTTTAAATTTAAATTACCTTACTTTCTACTTGCATTAAAATCTTGAGTGTCTGCCGCTGATGGATGGGCGAACACACGAAATTTTGAGGTATATACATATGTACATCTCTATGTTCTCTACAAATCCGTATGTGCTATTTAAATTTAAAGAAATACAAAAATTTAAAAGGTCAAGTTATTGGGGTAATTTGTATCGCTGTCAATACATTTTTGCAATAATCTTATCAACCGTTATGTTAAATTACGGAGTTGTTACGATTTTTTTGGGGGTTATGTATTGAAAACAAGGTTTGTTCTACTTTTTTCCAAAAGTTTAACCCATCAACTCCCACCAGAACGGGCCTTTTTACCCACTGTTTAAAAAATGGCTTATAGATGGTTAAAATTTCCACTAAAATATAAAGCGCCAAATTTTTCTTAGGAGAACCGAATGTAATGAAAAATAATAGTAATTTTTAGCAAAAAGGGGGACTTTAAACCTGTGTAGAAGACATTGCGATGCGCGGGAGCAAAACCTTCCTGGGATTTGACCACCACTTAGAAATGCTAACGTAATTTTCACACAGCCACCTAGTACGTGTATACGTCTGCGGGACCCCAGAATAAAATAAGTTACGAATGCAAAAATTAGCAAAAAAAAAGAGTTTGCTTTTTATTAAAAGTGTGTTTATAATATGTGACCTGGTCTACGGAAAGGGGGCTTAGGTGTCAAAAAATCAATTTTCACTTTTTGGTTGATTCGGATGGAAGATTAGATGCTTTTTCACGTGGTGAAAAGCAGACTTGCTTAGAAGTGTACTAAAAATGTAGAGAAAGAAGAGTAAAAATACGACAAAATATAATTTATTACATTATACAATTACATTATACAATTACAATTACAATTACATTATAACAATTAACGAGATAATGAGAAACTGACGAAACGAGTTGCTTACTTTTAACAGCTTTTTCACAGAAAACTAGTTTTCGAACGTAAGCTCCCTTTTCGTAGACCAGGTCACATATTAAAAAAAAAAATACACAGGAAAATCAACTTATCTTTGTTTTATCTCCAATAATTGAGGAGTTAGATGCAATAAGGGCGCTTCTGTTAAAACTGCTTTCTGAGATATTGGCGTTAAAGTTTTAGATGTGTTATAACTTTCTTGTTGTTGTAGTATATAAAAAAGTAGTATTGTTGTAGTATTGAAAAAAAATGTCTACTGCGGAAAAAAATTGTCAGATTACCAGTATTCGACCCTAATTTAACTGTAATA